GACCCAGCGGAGAAAGGCCTTGGCTGTCTTCTCCTTTGATGCTGTCTGCAAGGGTGGCATCTCTTCTTGTTGGAAGCGTTTCTGGAGGAGCTTAGGACGCCTGCACGAGACAAGAAGCTCATCTGTGCGTCGGAGTCGTGTTCTAAAGCTATTTTCTGCCTGTTGATACCTTCGCTTTATGAATCGTGGTAGTAGTAGGGTTGGCAACGTTCTCCGCACAAGAGGATGAGCGTCGTCAAGTGATTTGAGCCGCGCGGAGAATCTCCATCGCCGTTTTTCCAAGTCCGGGTATGGCGCTCTCGGGGTGGAGGATGGTGATGGGCGTCGTTTTCCAGATGGGCAGTATGGCTCTCATGGACTGGTGTAAGGCCTTGTTCATTCTTTGTATGAGATGTTGATTGCTCGATGGCGTGTCTCTATAGGCTGACTCCATCGCGGTCTGGTGGTGCCCGGGTACCAGGCTTCAGATCCATGCAATAGTACCGGCTCGACACAAGCCATGACGGCACTTCACGGCTTGGGAGGGCCTTCGTGTTGGCGAGACCCCGTAGATGATAGGCGACGGCATGCGCCTTGGCCGCCCACTTTTCGACGTGAACGCGGAACGGTAGCCTGCTGTCACCCACCCGCCGGTAGGCTGGCTCGGGGGGCTTCTCGACATCGCCGTGGCGATAGCCGGCGTGGTCCTGAGGTTGCTGCGAGAGAAGTGCATGACTTCGGTCTTTTTCGGGTCAAACGAAACGCCATTTGCTGCACCCCATCGAACCATCTCGCCGATGGAGCTGGAGGCCGGTGCAGTGGTTTCATCTATTGTGTCGCCTATAGAAAGGATAGCCGTGTCGTCTGCGTAGCCGAAGCGGCCCTGGGGTTGCCTAGTCGGTGGATTGGCTCAGTGTAGAGCAGGAAGAGGATGGGCGATACTGGTGAGCCTTGAGGCAGTCCACACTGGAGAGGAGCGAAGGGCGTGAGGGTTCTTGATACCTCACGCGGGCTGAACGATCCTTCATGAAGGACTCAGCCCATCTGACGAGATGGTCGGGCCAGCCCTGTTCACGGAGACGCAAGACTAGTCTCTTCGCACGGTTGAAGGGGACCTTGGATATCCATCGTGACCAGGGTGGCCACCTTCTTGCGTGCAAATGCTTCTTCGATATCGTGGATCAAGGCGGTCACCAGGTCTGTTGCCGACCTTTGGGGGAGCGCCGCTTTTGAAGGCCCATAGTGAACAGCTGCCCACGCCAAGCGGCGAGCGATCAATCTTTCCAGCCCCTTTCCGAGACAGGAGAGCAAGGAGATGGTCGCCAGCCCCTGGCTTTGTGAGGTCTCGTCGTCCCGGCTTCGCGATCATGACCACCTCCGCCTGCTTGAATGGTTCCGGGTGATGACCCAAGAAGGCACCTTTCGAACAAACACGTACCGACGATGTGCCACCCGGGTTTGAGAAGATTGACGGTGATGCTATCCGCCCCAGGGGAAGTATTGCCTGTATGGATAGTCGCATGCTGTGCCTCGTCTAGGGACTCGGGTGAGAATGTGATCGATCGAGGAGGAGACGTTCGGGTCAATATCGTCATCAGAAGTTCCGCGTTCCAGTAACGCTCCCCGAAGTGCGCTCGCCTTGTCCATCTGAGTTTCGTATACAGCGTCGTCGACCTGCAGGGGAGGCGGCTGGAAGGCCCCGGATTTGCCCCGACGGCTTAAGACAGCACTGCGCTGGAGAAGCTATCGATGAGTTCCCGCCAGTACTTTCGTTTTGCTCGGCGGACCACGCGATGAAAGTCTCTCTTGGCGATCTTAACATCCTGATTGAAGCTAGGGGGTCTCTTGAGGCCGAATGCAGCCGCCGCACAGGCGCACTCTTCTGTCCACCATGGAGCTGGGCAGCCACCTTTCCGTGAGGGCCGACCCACTGCCTTCGCTGCTGATGTTAGCAGATTTACAAGTGAACAATTGTCCAGCTCCGCGGGCGTTGAATCTCTGAGGGGGTCTCTGTGGCTCAAGCTCTACGGTCTCGACGGATCGTTTAAGCTCATCTTCTGTCGTCACTCGAATCTTGCCCGGCTGTAGTGGAGCGGGCTTTATGTTGGGGAGAGTCAAGCTGAGGGTGAAGTGGCGACGGGAATGGTCCTCAACAGTGGCTTTCAGCAAGTGGGATGTTGGCAAAAGCGATTGTGTTCGGGGTTTGGTGGGATATCTAAAGTGTTAAGCAGGTCGATGTCATTCTCTGATGCCCAACCGGCAATCTCTTGGCCGCGGTCCGTAGTCTGCCCTTCTGCGTTGTTCAGTGAAATCGCCAGCGACGAGGCAGCTTCCGGGCGGCCATCGGAGCAGCGTGTCAAGGGCATCCCTTTCGTCGTTCTGGCGGTAGAAGTTGACTACAGTCACGCCATTGATTGTGATCCAGAGAATATCGCGAGTCTGGAACGGTCGTATCTGGTCAGCGAGAAGCCTTGGGTCTCGTCGGACATATGTCATCACTCTAGGTCGAGTATCGTTACTGTCCCAGGACTCTACTGGGTGAGGTGTAGTGGGTCTGTCAAGCAAGGCGTTTTCGTATGGGCTGTCCACGGCTCCTGCAGGAGCACGATGTCATATCGTTCCGAGTCAGCCAGTGCCAGAGCGCAGTCGGGGGTTGCAATGCGACTTAGCGGCTTCCTGTCGTTCTTTCGTGTCTGCGAATATCTATTCCTGGTCATGAGGACGAGTAATGAGTACAATTCGACGCTTTCGTGGCGAGCCTGGTCTAGGATGCTCGGGCTCCTCCATTTCATAACCCGCCCTGGGGGCGGTGGCCACCATATCACGAGTGCTCGTGACGCCGGCCGGGCTCGAGTCTCGAGCGTCTGGACGTTCGTCTGCTGGGGTATCGTCCCTCAGCAGCTCGGTCGTGTCTTGTCGGATTTCTATGTGGGATTCTGGTTGTGAATCCAAGTGACGTTGTCGGTACGTCTCAGGCCCTCTATGTGTTCCCGTTGTTCTTTGCTGAGCCGGCGGAGGACGCCACGCACTTTCTTCGGCCGGGCTGGACACGTACGAAGGCTGGCATCGTGAGGGCCTAAGCAATTGACGCACTGCTCCCATGCAGCGCAGTCGTCTCCAGAGTGGCCAGTCTTGCCACAGCGTTGGCAGACTGGCTGTCTATGGCACTTGCGGGTAAAGTGGTAGCCCCAGCACGTTTCGCACTGCTTGGGTACGTCGCTTTTGTCTACGAGTCTGGCCGCCCGGCTCCCGAAGAGGGACCAGAACCTCTTCTTGGTGGGCTTCAGGAAGGAGACAAGGAGAGTCTTGGTCAAAGGGTTATCCGAGAATTGTCTTCCAGGACGTATATCAACGGGCTTGAGCCCTGTCTGGATTTCTATCTCATCACTGACAACGCTGTCACTATCCACCTCGTTGCCGCGAAAGTCGGTCAGTCTTCTGGGAAAGTCTGAGACCACGTAAGTATGCCATTCCTTGTTTGTTTCTACCGCCGTAGCTCCCAGCTCAGCCGCCCACTCGGCCTGCTTCTCTACGAGAAAATCGCGTGTTTCATGGTCGGCAGTCAGGACTGCCCATCCCGACCTGACCTGGAATACCTGTCGGACCTTGTCCGAGACGGTGCCGAGTTTTTCCCTGATCAGGGTCCGGATGGCATAGCCGCTATGGTCCCTAGCCGGAGCTCCGGCTTCTAGACGGACGAAGACGCGGAGGTCCTGTCGGGGTGGGGCGGCGATGGTGGCTTGTTGCTCTTGGCGATGAGGTGGGCCCGATTGTCGGTGCTGTTGTTGTTGTTGATGATGATGATGCTGGTGGGCTGTGCGGGCGCGGTCAGCGGGGAGCGAGGCGGCGGCGACACTGCTGTAGGTAGGTTTAGAAGCTGGTACATCGCTAGAAAGCTCTCGTTTCCAGGCGTCAAGGACGCTGTCGACAAACTTCTGAGCGAAACGTCGCTGCGGTCCGGAGGTGAATTGCTTGTTGGCTTCTTCAAGCTTGGCGCAGAAGGCCTGGAAGACCATTAGTTTGGCGTCGTACTCTTCCGCGTGTTTACGCGCGAGATCATTGGCCGATTCGATAATAGAGATTGGTTGCTGTTCAGGGGTCGATGCGGGATTGGCACGCTCAGCTCCTTCCGTAGCTGCAGCAGTGGTGGCGGCGTTGAGTGGCGAGGACGGTGTCTGGGCCGTCCGCCCAGGTCTGGGTGAAACACCAATGGGGCTGTTCACGACCGCGGGGCTGTTCTGCAAGAGGGCTGCACGGGCTCTTCGGTTCAGATTAGCGGGAGTGTGGACCCCTAGATCGAAGGGGTCCGGGGCGACAGGCGGGATCGTCGGAGACGAAGCCATCGCTGCGACTTGCGACTGCGCAAAGCGCAGATTGAAATGTTTGTTGTGCACTTGTTAAGGATTTTGGTGTAGACAGGGCCACTTTCTTAACACTTGTATGCCAAGAAAGTGTGATGACGAAGGAAGGTGTTAGACAGCTCGAAGCTCTAGGTTATCAGAAGTTACAGGGTAGACAGATCTTTAAATCAGGTTACCAGCAAGCTTCAGTCAAACACAAATTATAATTCATTACCGCCTTTATATATGCTTGTCATATAAATGTATCATAATTACTATTTATTTGCTGCTTTGTTTTAGCTCAAGATATCTTGAATGTTGCGGCATCTATTCTGTTTTGTTACTGTTTCAATACCCTTCCGACCTTTCTCGACCAGCCAAAACTCGACAACTACCGAGTAAATGACAAGCTTGATTGCATCACGCATGGAATTCACACCGCTAAAGCACGCAATAACCATAATCCTGTTTTCGCACGCTTGACAGCTCGGCAGTACCAGTCAAACACCTCGTGGCCATCCCACAAGCTGAAAATGATGCAATCCCCATTCGTACCGCATGCGGCTGAAGAGTCCAGACCAGGGAAATAGCGACAAAGACGTAATCCCAGCGGAGATCATACGTTGCACAATTATGATCGAAGATGCAGCTCCGAACTGAGCGGAGCTTGAGAATGTGGATGACGGAATGGCGTACAGCTCTTGGCCCAACTCGGTAAGGTCGACAGGGATCTCGTTGTCCAAAGCTGGGAAACCCAGGCGTCAATCATCGATTTGGCTGCACCCCACACGATCTGTTAGTTCCCGTGGCGGTCATAATGATGTCGACGACGTAGGCAAATCGAGCTGTCCCTGCTTGGGGAACAAGTGAAGCGGTATATGAGAGCGGTGAAAGGTCTCACTTGGTAGAGCTCATCATCAAACGCTCAATACTCACTCAATAACACAAACACCATCTAATAATTCACTTTTGATACCCCTACCCTAAAAATAAACACTGCACAACATTCACAATGAGTAGTCTCGGCGCAAAGATCAAGGACATCCTCCACTCCGACAAGGACACCAGCACAGAGACATCTCACCATCCCCCAGGATCATTCCCCACAGAAGAGATGGAGCCTAGCGAGACTCACGAAGGATACTCCAAGGGATATGAGCATAACAAACTTCACAAGGCCGACGACCCTCGAGGCCACGCACACAAAGACTCTGGCGTCGGGTTCATCGAGCCCAACGATCCTACTTCCTATAAGCCTTCCAACGAACCCATCTCCGAGCGACGCGACGATCCTCTAGACAGAACCACCGACGCTACTACAACTGCTGGCACTACAACCTCGGGTGCTACAACTGCTGGCACTACAGCTGCTGGCACTACAGCTGCTGGCACTATAGCTACAGGTACTACTGCTGCTGGCGGTCTAGGCGACACAAGCAAGATCCCCGCTACTGAGGGCGCCACTGGCGCTACTGCACCCTCTACCCAAGACCATCCCTACTGGGGAGATCTTCCCAGCGGAGGCGTTCACAACACCGTCATCGGCCACGGCAGCCCTGAAGATGAGAACGCACGTCATCGGGCTGTTCACTCTGGCGCGACGGAACCAACTCGAACGGCTGGTACTCTCGAGAGCGGGACATTCCTCCACCGACACGACCGCGACACCACATCCTCTACTACCAACCCTACCGACGCTCAGCGATCTACCCAAGAGACCACCGGCCAGACATCTGGCTCCCGCTTCAACGAGGGTCTAGCTGGTGCTGGAGCTGCTGGCGCCGGCGTCCTGGGCGCTCATGAGCTCGAAAAGCGCCGTCACGCCGATGATACTCAAACACCAAGCAAGGTTGACCAAACCACCGACAAGTCTCACGACGAGCACAAGGGCCGATCGTTCCCTCTCCTCGGAAAGGACCATAAGGAAAAGGAGACGCACCATAAGGAGGACAAGCACGCCAAAGAACCCAAGGAGAGCAAGCTCGGCGCTCTGTTCCATCGCAAGGATAAGACTGAGACGGAAGCCAAGGCTGAGCAGGAGGCCGATCAAGAGAAACATGGTCACTCCAAGCCTGCTCTTGCTGCTGCTGGAGCTGCATGGGGTGCGAGCTCTGCTGGAAAGGGTCACGATGACAAGACTCAGCGTGATGTGACAGATCCTTCCGGTACTCGGGGCGCGACGCAGTATCCTGCTTCTGGACTCGACTCTACCAGGGACTACAGCACTCAGCCTACTGGTACTACACAACAGCCTCACCAGCAAGATAGCTCCCATCGAGGCGCTGGTCTTGCGACTGGTGCTGCTGCTGGCGTTGGCGCTGGCGCTTTGGCGTCGCACTATGCTCAGCGCTCTGACAATGATCGAATTGGCACTGGTTATGACTCACAGAGCTACGACCCTTCTAGCACTTCTACCAGAGATCCTACCTCTCAGACCTACCAGCAACAAGGCTCTCACGTCGATCACAGCCTCGCCAAGGGCACTGCAGCTGGTCTAGGCGCGGGTACACTTGCTTCACACTCTGGCCAGCACTCTAGCTCCAACCAACCTTCAACCCTCGGTGCTACTTCAGCATACGGTGCCCAGCCAGACCAAACCGCCAACTATTCTCACAAGGATCCCGTTGGTCAGACTTCCCAGCATGACTCTCACCGCGGTGCAGGACTTGCTGCCGGTACTGCTGCTGGTCTAGGTGCAGGTGCCCTTGCTTCCCGATCGGGTCGTGAGCACGAGACGACTGGCCAGCATACTGGTCTTGACTCCAGCCGAGGTCTTGAGTCGCAGGGCAACCAGTCTGCTTACAGCTCTACCAACCCTACATCTCAGTATGAGCAGCATGATTCCCACCGTGGTGTTGGCCTCGCTGCCGGTACTGCCACTGGACTGAGTGCTGGCACCTTGGCCTCTCGATCTGGACGCGAACATGAGACTACTGGTCAATCAGGACTTGACTCTAGCCGAGGCTTAGAGTCGCAGACTACTCAGCCTGGATACAGTTCTACAAACCCTACCTCCCAGTACCAGCAGGACAACTCCCATCACGGTGCTGGTCTAGCCACAGGAGCTGTCGCCGGCCTTGGTGCTGGAGCGCTGGCCTCTCGATCCGGTCGTGATCATCATTCTGACCAATCCACAGGCCTTGAATCCAACCGAGGTCTTGAGTCTCAGACCACTCAGCCTACATCCACATCTACCCGCGACCCTACTTCTCAGTCCTACCAACAGGAGGGATCTCACCGAGGAGCTGGACTAGCTACCGGTGCTGCTGCAGGTCTCGGTGCTGGAGCTCTGGCTTCGCATGAGTCTAACAAGCGTGACGAGGATCCATACCTGGGCAACGATGGTTCCCGCACAGCTCAGCCTGGTACTATCGGCACTACTGGTACTGGGGCTGGCCTCGGCACCTCTTCCTCTACCTTCGACAGTTCTCACAATGAGCCCTCGCGCAAGTCCGAGCACTCCCAGCGCTCGACCGGCTCTCACCACTCCACACTCGCTGAGAACGCCAATGCCGGAAAGTACAACACCCTCGCATCCGGAACTCCCTCCGGCGTCGCCTACGATGACGACCTTTCCACCAGCCGCTCTACCCAGCAGCCTACATCTGAGAGGAAGGATGATAGTCACTTCGGCGCCAAGGTAGCGGGTCTAGGAGCCGCTGGCGCTGGAGCTGGTACTGCAGCTGCTTTGTCTCGCAACAAGGATGAGAAGCCTGTCGAGGATAAGATTCGCGAGGAGCCTGAGACTGAGCGTAAGCTTGATCAGACTGAGTCTCACAAGCCTATTACTGGTGCTGTTGCGCCGCAGGTTGGAACGAACAAGCCTATTATTCACAAGTGTCAGAAGTGTGGTGAGGATAATGACATTAGCAAGTACTTTACTTCTAACTCTGGAAAGATCTAAGGTTTGGGATGGATATGTAGGATGAGCATACGATTATGAGGCATGTTTGTATTTAATAATTTATGGAGTTTAGTAACACAATGATTCCAATTTGTTTCACTGTTAATCCATCCCATGCTTCCGCGAGGTTAGCTCAATAATATGATCACTCGATAAATGGCCACTCAGTCGATGCTTGCTATCTACCAAGCCAGCTGTTCAGCATCCTTCCCGCAAGCCAACCCCGAACAGAATCCCATGTCACTCTCCGTACCACGAGAAGCATCAGATGGAACATGCTGCGCCGGGTTGATCTCCTTCCCAACTGCCTTCTCCAACTGATAATGGCCATTCAAAATGCCTCTGACGCGATGCTGAAAGTAAAGAGGACCTTGCTCCATCTTAGGATGCATCTCCCCATTCACAAACACGCCCGCGTTGAGGTTCTTCTGTGCATTATTGCAGAGCCATTTATCCTCAGCCAAGATTCTCTTGAACATCGCGTCGATGGTCTGGAAGCCTTCATCAGTGGCGTTCTTGTGTCGGTAAACTTCGTACTCCATGGAGCAATGGCCGGGCGAAGTAGGAACGCATCGCATCATGTAGAAGAAGTTGGGGCTGAAATGTTAGTTGAGTAAGGGTATGTGAAGGGGAGACTTACGATACAGTCATGCAAGCGTTGGGGAAGTAATAGTTGCTCACAATCTTGAGACCTTGTTCTTCCATCTCGGGTTTGGTGTTGGCAAAGTGTTCAATATTACCGCCCTTCGTATCGACTCGATATGCGGATAGATCAGCGACATCGGCAGCATCTGGATGTGCGGTCTTGCAGTGATAACATTCATTGTAGTTATCAGCCAACGTCTTCCAGTTGTAGTCACCGCTCATGCCCCAGGTATGATCAAAGTGATAGTCCTCAAAATTGAAGCCCTCATGTCTTGCCATCTGATCAATGTTCTTGAACTCAGTTGAGAAGTCCTCAGGCGTTGTCGAAGAGTCGAGGTTGACCCAGATGAAACCTTTGGCATCAACGTGAACATGGACAGGTAGAAGACCGTTCTTGGTCTTGTCGAAGCCTTTCATGTCGTCATATCCTGGAGCTTTCGCGAGTTGACCATTG